GTTTATGTGATATCAGTCGCAGAAGGGTTCGCATGCAGTGCAATTTATGTTTTAATCATCAAATGCGACCCAATTGATCAGCCTAGTTGCTATTCATTTATGCGGCGGAACATTGTTTTGAAGTGAGCTGAGGAGCTGAGCTCAAAACACGAGCTGAAGAGCCTCAAAACTCTGCCATCGCTCTGAATGCGACTGCGACAGGTGACACTTTCTGCGTTGCATATTCATTGACTTGAGCCGTAATTTATGCCAGAAATTGCAAAAGAAAACAGAAACTAATTTAACAGGAAATAATTAATTTGGCTGCTTTCTTATAAGTGCGATGGAATAAATGCTGTTGTTGCTGTTGCTGCTGCTGCTGCTGCTGCCAGCGACCCAATTAAAATTATTTCGTTTTCATTACCCAATGAACCAGGCGTAATAATAATAATAAGAAAACCAAGTAAGATTGCTGCAGCTGGACGCAACTGACTGCACAATACTCGCTCAAGTTTCAATAGTCATTTTAAATGCTGAAATGAAATGAAGTAAGTTTTTTATTATTTTTATAAATAAATGGGTAATTTGTGGAAGATATAGCTTCACTTTATCTGAGTGTTCAGGGCAATAAAATCAAAGCTTGCTCTTTAGGGAAAGTCCATTGTGATCTAACAAACTAGGGACCAGAAGAATCTAATATCATAATTAAGGGATATATTAGTATCAATTATAATTTAACATCTATATTCGATATCGATGTTAAATTATAGTGAGTCTTATCAGTGGAGCATACACATGCCTGTATTTGTCAAACATGCCCATATACTCATTTCCCTTTTTCTTAAAGAGTATCGTACGAAATCCAACAGTCAATACGAAAAGCCAAGCAACAACAGTCGAAGTTGAGACGACGAAACAAAAAACAGACAAACACTGCCAAAGCAACAAAAGTAACAGAAACAAAAAAAGAGAAGTTTAAATAATGAAATCACTTCGCACCATCTCGAAATTGCTCATTAACATTTTGTGTTTGCGATATCAACTTGTGAAAATCGCAGACCAGGCCAGCCTCCAGCCAACTTGCCAACTTGCCAACTTGCCAGCTTAGCCACTGTAAGCCACGTTTATGCGGCGCTTATGACAATAAGCAGACTTTGTAAAGAAGTCGCTAAGTTAGTCAAAGCTTTAAAAAGGGTCTCCACCCGACCCCTCCCAGGTATATACTGACAGAAACTCAATATTATATTCTTTTTGGGCATACAGTAATTTTTATGTGAGAAACTATATACATTGTATATTAAGTGGATTTATGAAATTACAAAATACCATGAAAGATTATTAAATTGCTCATAGATCAAATGAAAGAATATCGAAAACTAAATTGTTTTTAGTAATATTCAAATCTTATATCACATCATATGCATAGCTAAGACCTTGCAGCTTGAACACAATTGAATGAATTAGGGTATGTCAAAGTAGGGCATTATACAAAAGGACAAGCTCACAATACACTATATAACTCTACAAGCGATCAATTGCCCTCCTTATAAACATTGTTTCCTTGCTATACACCTGCTCAGATTTCATTGCTATCAATTTGGAACAACAAGAATAAGTTCAATTTAGCTTTTATTGCGCTTAGCTCACGTATAAACACGATTCAATATGCTGCGATTTGGCCATTTACAAAGACTCTGACTCTGAGGCAGCTACTTGGCTTTTATTTATTATGCCAAGTTGTTGTTGTAGTTGTTGTTGTCGTGGTCTCTTCACTGTTATGCTGCAGTTGGAGCCTGGCTTATTAGTTGGGTCAGCTTATGGCTTTTGGCTTTTAAGGTGTGAAACTGACGACAGCCAGCCGAACGCCTCCACCTCCACCTGCACCTCCACCACCAAATCCCCCACCCCTACCCACATTGGCTGCTGGAGTCTGTCTGTCAGTTGCCCTCTGCCTTGTTTTACGGGTCGTGATTTGTCTCTGGCTGCAGCTTCGTCTCTGGCAATTCTTGTAAAGGTCGTTTCGCCTCGCTTTCCTCAATGAAAAATGCCAGCAGACAGCAGAAACATTCTGAGCTGAGGACGGGACGAGTCTGCAGCAGAGGCAGCAGCAGTCCGGACACTGTCCTCGACTGTAGATAAGCCTCGGCTGAACGTGTATTCCAGTAGCCATTCGATTTATGTTAAATAAGCTGGACGCAAGCGCTGTTTGTTGTAAAATACCAATTGCTGTGTCTTACCTTTGCCTAGTGATTCACGTTTCTGGTTTCTCTTCTCTCAACTCGAAGAAACCCCAAAGCTGTTGATAGCAGACGACTGCGCAATGCTCTCCTCTGAGGCTAGTTTAACGAAGACTTTGATGAGATGACGAATACTTCACACGAATACTCCAGTCTTGAAAGTAGTTTTATTTGTATATATTACTCAAGTAGAATGAAATTCGTAGCTCTTAGGCAGATCTGTTTAATATTTCAGTTATTTATGATGTCACATACTCTTGTCTCTAATATACCCCGTTTCAACTGAGTCCGGCATGAAAAGAGAAACCTCAGAATAAGAAAGAAAAACAAAATAAAAATAAAAATAAAAAATCATTGGCACTGAATCAGATTTCTTAATTTAATTGGCTTTATGCAAGAAATTCTTTAGCCCGGGCTTTGCTCTTGGGCTCGCTTTTATAGACAAGCTGTCTGGCCAGGTGCCTGACAACAGCATATGCGTGAGCATGTGTGTGTGTGTGTGTGTGTGTGTGTGTGTGCAGATCCTTCAGTGCAGCAAGAAACCAAGCAACAGCAGCTACCTCAGATAGCATCTTTTTGGACTTCGCAACGTGGGAAATGCGGCGTTGGCCGCTGCTTAGCCTAATTCTCAAAAGAAAAAGTGGGAAAACTTTTTATGAAAACTAATCAATAAAAAATATTTTCATAAAACAACAAATAAGAATAATCACGAGCAAAAGCAGCTCGTAGTTGGATGCTTCGAGCGGCAATGGAGCGAGTTCTAAATTGGTAGGTATTCTAAACGTTGGAGTAGTATCGACTGCTAGATGTCCTCTAGTACTAGTTTAATTATACTAAAATACATGTGTACTGTAAATATTGATTGATGAGTTGATTGATTATAGCATACTCTGTAAAAAAGCATCAATACTATTATATCTTCTTGGTTTAATATAAGGCTTTCTCCTTATAATATATTCTTACTATAAAAGCATCC